AATATAATTATATCGCCGACCAAATGTGGCCCCCGGGCCTGAGTTTGACGTTTTAGAAGTTTTTTGTGTTTTTCGACCAAATGTTTTGACTCCTACAGGGATTTTTAAAGGTGGATTGTGTAACTTTTCTAGATTCAAAATTGTTAAAATTATTATTTTTTTAAATCTCATAATTTCTTCCTCATTTGAAGAGCTCCAGATCCACAGTTTGAGGAGGAGGAGTGTGTTTAAACCTCATGTGGAGATCTGCTTCTGCTGCTTCTGGAGGAGGAGTGTGTTGTGTGTGTGTGTCGTGTGTGTGTAGTGTGTAGTGTGTGTGTGTGTGTGTGTGTGTGTGTGTGTGTGTGTGTGTGTGTGTGTGTGTGTGTGTGTGTGTGTGTGTGTGTGTGTGTGTGTGTGTGTGTGTGTGTGTGTGTGTGGATGAGGAGCAGATGTGCAGATGATGTAGATGTTCTGGACGTGTCTCTCCACATTTGTAGAATTGAAAAGAACAGAGTGATCCGTGCTGCTGTTTCTGGCTCGTGGTTCGTGGCTCGTTTGTGTTTGGTCTGAGGCTCTTCGGGGTGACTCGGGGGTGACTCGGGGGTGACTCGGGGGTGACTCGGGGGTGACTCGGGGGTGACTCGGGGGTGACTCGGGGGTCGCTCTGGGAATGTTTTTGGGAATGTTTTGTGACTCTTGTTTTTTCTTTTTTTGTGTAAAGTTCTTGTTGTTTTTCATATTCTGGATCGTGTTGATTGGATGAGAGTCAGTTTCTTTGTGATGAGGACTTTTTTTGTTTTTGTTCTGAAATGATGAATCGGGTCATTTTTGTGATTTTCCAGACACAAGATCTCAGCATATTACAACAAAACAAAACACAAACCTGTATTTAACAGTGTTTTTGCTGCTCCATGTGTATAATATGTGCAGAAACTCCCACGTACACAGATCGATGAAGCATGTTTTTATTACTGGCAGAAGGAGAAAAGATAATTATTCACATTTATTGACTCTGTGGCCAAATAAATACTGAGTGAATATTATTGTCGGTTTGTGTGAGCTGATCCTTTTCACTTTAGTTCAGTGGAGATCTGCAGTTCCACGACTGAAATGATCCAGATGATTCTAAACTTAGAGGAAAACTTCCTGCTTCCTGAGTGTGTTTTGTTTGAGAGAAGAATTTTAAAACCTGAATCTGCAGGTTTGTCTGGATAATGGTTAATATATACTCATGCTGATACTGACAGGGCAAAAAAATATATATTTGTTTGGAAGGTTTGTAATTTTTTCATATTCAAAAGATTATTTCTTTCATACTAGACAGATTTTTTTTTTTTTATTGAACAGATTTTTTTTTTCATATTGGACAAATTTTGTATTTTTTTTTCCATGTTGGTCAAATTTTATTTTATTTTTTCATATTGGTCAGATTTTTTTTTTTTTCATATTGGACAGATTTATTTTATTTTTTTTCATATTGGACTGATTCTTTTTTTTCTTTTTTCATATTGGACAGATTAAATTTTTTTTCCTGTTGGACTGGAGCTGATGGTTTTATGTAATACGTCTGGACGAACCATAACACTGTAGAAACCTTTTTAAAGAAAGTATAAAGTTTTATGTTTTGAGCTCTGGAATGAATGAGTTATGCAGTCAATTTTGTTTTAATTTATATTTTGTCTCTTTATATTTACAGTGAGTCATGAGTGAAATTGTAAACTCAAACTTGTTGTTCAGACGCTGATTTTCTTTCTTGGAATTCTGTCGTTGTTTAAAAGGTTTCGGTGTTAGAAGAACTTTTTACTTCATCCTAAACCGTTTCAGTCCTGATCCACGGGGCTGAATCTGTGTGTCGTTCGTTCATTCATTTTTCAATATAAAACCAAAAATAAGAAAATGAAAAAATTATGGTTTTCTTCATTATTTGTCTCCAAAACCAAAATGAAAAAACAGATAATGATTTGTTTTTTTTCCATTTAAAATTTTGTGTTTAAATGAAAAATGGAAAAAACTGATAACGGCCGTTTCCCGTTTACGTGACTTCAGTGACTGTGATGTCGAACTGAACCAGGACTGACCCAGGTCCGGGACCAGACCGGGACTGAGACCGGGACTGAGACCGGGACTGAGACCGGGACTGAGACCGGGACTGAGACCGGGACTGAGACCGGGACTGAGACCGGGATTGAGACCGGGACTGAGACCGGGATTGAGACCGGGACTGAGACCGGGACTGAGACCAGGACTGGAACTGGGACCATACCGGGACCAGACCGGGACTGAGACCGAGACTGGAACTGGGACCAGACTCCGATCTTTGACTCCGAGCCTCAGCTTCGAGCTCCGGCCCTGCCGTGGGCTCTGAGCCTCCGGTCTGGTCCCGGCCAGGTCTCGGTTTCAGTCCCAGTCTCAGTCCTGGTCTGGTCTCGGTTTCAGTCCCGGTCTGGTCCCGGTCTCAGTCCCGGTCTGGTCCATTATCCATTTTTTCCCTTCTGCATTTAAACACAAAATTGAAAAATGAAAAAAACAAATCATGATCTGTTTTTTAGTTTAGTTTAGTTTTAGTTTAGTTTTAGTTTAGTTTAGTTTAGTTTTAGGTTTAGTTTTAGTTTAGTTTTAGTTTAGTTTTAGTTTAGTTTTAGTTTAGTTTTAGTTTACTTTAGTTAGTTTAGTTTTAGTTTACTTTAGTTTAGTTTAGTTTTAGTTTACTTTAGTTTAGTTTAGTTTAGTTTAGTTTAGCTGCAGAATATCTGAATAAACTGTTACTACAGTTCCTCCTGTTCTAAAACCTCAGCGTCTCCATCGTCCGTGAAAACCTCAGACTGGTGGATCTGTGCTGAAGTTCAGACTCACATTCTTGTTCTAAAAGTGCACGACACGAGGCGACGAAAACAAAAACAAATTCCATGTTGTGTTTTGGAAGGTTAAATTAAGGATTGGAAAAATCCCAAATGTGACTTTTTGTTTTCCCCGTGTCCCTCCAAAAGTAAAAGCTTCATGTTCACTTCGTGTTCACTTCGTGTTCACTTTGTGTTCACTTTGTGTTCACTTCGTGTTCACTTTGTGTTCACTTCGTGTTCACTTCGTGTTCACTTTGTGTTCACTTTGTGTTCACTTCGTGTTCACTTCGTGTTCACTTTGTGTTCACTTTGTGTTCACTTTGTGTTCAGACAGAACTTCCAAGAAAATGGGGGAATGTGGAAGTTGTAGTGAGCGAGAGCCAAGTCCAGACGGAACAGGATCATTGTGCCCAGAGCCCAGAGCCCCTCGTCCTCCTGCTCCTTTTCCTCTGGTTTATGACTCGTTTATGTCGAACTTTCCTCTCAGACAGAAGGATCCAGAACAGAGACGATCCTCAAATCTCAAACTGGATTAAACAAACTCGACCCTCAAATCTGAGACTTTAAAAAATCCACTTTGTTTAAACAAACTCCTGAGATTTTACACTTTAAATAAACAAAAGAACTTTATTTTCTCTTTTCATGTGTCTAAACCAGGACTAAACCAGGACTAAACCAGGACTAAACCAGGACTAAACCAGGACTAAACCAGGACTAAACCAGATCTAAACCAGGACTAAACCAGGACTAAACCAGGACTAAACCAGGTCTAAACCAGGTCTAAACCAGGTCTAAACCAGGACTAAACCAGGTCTAAACCAGGACTAAACCAGGTCTAAAACCAAAACTAAACCAGGACTAAACCAGGACTAAACCAGGACTAAACCAGGACTAAACCAGGACTAAACCAGGACTAAACCAGGACTAAACCAGGACTAAACCAGGACTAAACCAGGACTAAACCAGGACTAAACCAGGACTAAACCAGGTCTAAACCAGGTCTAAACCAGGTCTAAACCAGGACTAAACCAGGACTAAACCAGGACTAAACCAGGACTAAACCAGGTCTAAACCAGATCTAAACCAGATCTAAACCAGATCTAAACCAGGACTAAACCAGGACTAAACCAGGACTAAACCAGGACTAAACCAGAACTAAACCAGGACTAAACCAGGACTAAACCAGAACTAAACCAGGACTAAACCAGATCTAAACCAGGACTAAACCAGGACTAAACCAGGACTAAACCAGGTCTAAACTAAACCAGGACTAAACCAGGACTAAACCAGGTCTAAACCAGGACTAAACCAGGACTAAACCAGGACTAAACCAGGTCTAAACCAGGACTAAACCAGGACTAAACCAGGACTAAACCAGGTCTAAACCAGGAATAAACCAGGTCTAAACCAGGTCTAAACCAGGTCTAAACCAGGTCTAAACCAGGACTAAACCAGGTCTAAACCAGGACTAAACCAGGTCTAAACCAGGTCTAAACCAGGTCTAAACCAGGTCTAAACCAGGACTAAACCAGGACTAAACCAGGACTAAACCAGGACTAAACCAGGACTAAAGCAGGTCCATGTGTGTACACTGTTCTGATTCAGCTTCACTTTGTTTTAAAAATTATTTTCTGTCTTTTTTTGTATCGATACTTGTGAAAAACAAGTCTTTAGTTCCGATTCTCATTTTGGTATCGATTATTTTCTCATTTCCGATACTTTTGACACTCAGAGTCCCTCACAAGTCGATCCGATACCATCACAACACGACGATAAACACGATTATCGATACTACACATGATTTTCTGTGATTTTGTGCTGCTTTTTTAACAACCGAACTCTTTTTACCAACAATATTTCTTCGTTAAACCATCAAATTTGTCGATTTTAATCATCAAAACAGTGAAAAACATGTTTCCTCACACAAAATAAGCAACAAAAGTCCAGCTCAGTCACACAAAAAACACAAAAAAATACAAAAAACTATAAGTATTCAGCGTTTTTTTTACTTCAAGGCTCTGAAATCTCCTTAAATCCTAGAACCACTCGATTAGTATCAGATTTTTTCATATTTCTGACTGTTTTTTGTTGTTTATGTGGGTGTTTTGTGCGTGTTTTGTCCCTCGTCTCCTCTGATCGTCGGTGTAACTCTGGGCTCGTGTGTGTTTCTGTTTCCAGGGGACGACTTTTCCATCATCCAGCAGGAAATCTTCATGGTGAAAGAATGTATGCACCACAACATCGTGGCCTACTTCGGGAGCTACCTCTGGTGAGGATCAAAACACGACGCTCTCACCACAAACACTCACTCACAGAAAAAAAACAAAACAAAACAGAAAAATGTGTTCACGAGACGAAACAGAAAGAGAAAGAAGAGGAGAGGAGGAGGAGGAGGAGGAGGAGGAGGAGGAGGAGGAGGAGAGAGGGAGGAGGAGGAGGAGGAGGAGGGGAGGAGGAGGAGGAGGCTGTCAGTGGAATCTCCAGGGTTTTGGGGTTTACATTAAACTGTTACATGTGTGAGTCAAACTTTCACTTTTGTTTGTTGTAAACAGTGTTGTGGAGTAACAGATTACATGTACCAGAGTAATCAGAATACAAATGATGAGTAACTGTATTCAGTTACAGTTACTGTTTCAGTGAGTGGGAATTGGATTACAGTTACTTTGTTGAAATAAATTACACAGAGGGATTTAACTGTTTTCACATTTTGGGCTAAATCCCTTTTTTTTTTTTTCAGTAATTCCACTCATTGCTGGAAACTAAACCAGGTCTAAAACCAGGTCTAAACTAAGACTTAACCAGGTCTAAAACCAGGTCTAAACTAGGACTAAACCAGGTCTAAAACCAGGTCTAAAACCAGGTCTAAACTAGGACTAAACCAGGTCTAAAACCAGGTCTAAACTAGGACTAAACCAGGTCTAAAACCAGGTCTAAACTAGGTCTAAAACCAGGTCTAAACCAGAACAAAACCAGGTCTAATCTAGATCTAAACTGGGACTAAACCAGGTCTAAACCAGGTCTAAAACCAGGTCCAAACCAGGTATAAAACCAGGTCTAAACCAGGTCTAAAACTAGGTCTAAACTAGGTCTAAACCAGGTCTAAACCAGGACTGAACCAGGTATAAAACCAGGTCTAAAACTAGGTTTTCGTGTTTTTTTGTGTTTGTGTTTTTAGTGGTTTTTGTGTTTTAGTGTTTTTGTGTTTACAGCAGATCTCGCCAACGCTGCACATTTACGTTCCTCCGCACACACAGCGGCGCATCTGCTCATCTGCTCTGTTCACAAACGAATAATCCGTCCATAAATTCACCGCACTGTTGTTTAAAGACGCAGGGTTCAAAGTGCGAGCAAAAAGTATCGACTTTTAGTCCGGAAATGATGGAGAAACATAAAAAATCTGTCAAATGCAAACGCACTTTAAGACCAAATCTGTGTGTACAAAATGAACACAAATAATCAGATAATGTCGTCTGTGTGTGTGTGTTTGTGAGTGTGTGTTTGTGTGTTTGTGTGTGTGAGTGTGTGTGTGTGTGTGTGCGCGTCGTCATGGGCCCTAACGATTCTTCCAGTAAAGAGTTAACGAGGAACCACGAGACGAGAGTAAAACACAGATCCACGTTTACCAGAAGCTCCGCGATAAAGCAGCGTGTGCGATTCTGCTTCCTCATCGTTCTAAATGTGTTCCAGGTGTGAAAGAAACGCCGACCACAACACACACAACACACTTCACACATCACACACTTCACACACATCACACACATCGCACACGCTCAAACGCACAACAATCACACACAATCTGCACTTCTCAGCTGTTTTTTTAGTCGTTTATTCAGTCGTTTTGCTGCTTTACAAAACAAAAAACAAAACAAAAACCAAAACCTTGACACGACCTCAGGACCGAAAGGTTTAGACTGAAGTGAAAGATCTTATAACTCCCAAACCCTTAAGTCACAGTCCCAGTTTTAGACCTGGAATAGTCCCAGTTTTAGACCTGGAATAGTCCCAGTTTTAGACCTGGAATAGTCCCAGTTTTAGACCTGGGATAGTCCCAGTTTTAGACCTGGGATAGTCCCAGTTTTAGACCTGGGATAGTCCCAGTTTTAGACCTGGGATAGTCCCAGTTTTAGACCTGGAATAGTCCCAGTTTTAGACCTGGAATAGTCCCAGTTTTAGACCTGGATAGTCCCAGTTTTAGACCTGGAATAGTCCCAGTTTTAGACCTGGGATAGTCCCAGTTTCAGACCCGGAATAGTCCCAGTTTTAGACCTGGAATAGTCCCAGTTTCAGACCCGGGATAGTCCCAGTTTTAGACCCGGAATAGTCCCAGTTTTAGACCCGGAATAGTCCCAGTTTTAGACCCGGAATAGTCCCAGTTTTAGACCTGGAATAGTCCCAGTTTTAGACCTGGAATAGTCCCAGTTTCAGACCTGGGATAGTCCCAGTTTTAGACCTGGAATAGTCCCAGTTTCAGACCTGAAATAGTCCCAGTTTCAGACCTGGAATAGTCCCAGTTTTAGACCTGGAATAGTCCTAGATTTGAGAAACAGTTTTGTATAATATTGGATTTTTAAAGCAGAGGGACCCACTTTTTTTTTTTTCTTCCAAAAGAGGATTTAAAAACAACATCAGAGTTAATATCAGTATATATATCTAGAGTAAATCAGTCGAGTATTTAGAAAGAACAATATTTAGCGTGAATTGTTTTTCTTTGGATCTAGAACACAAACTTCTCAGCCATAAATGTGATTAGATGTTGATATAGTCAGACATTGCCTGATTAAACAAACTGCTAAACTGCATCTAATTTTTTAAAAAAGGGAAATAAAAGTGTGGTTTGTGTCTGTCGTGATGTTTCAGATCGAGTTCTGTTGGGTTGTTGAGTAAAGACGATAAATAAAGTTTGGATTTGAGCGTTTGTGTTTCCTCTGCGAGTTTGTCTGTTCCTCGAGTTAATATTTGACTAAAGATTTATACGGTTTGATAAGGAAATAAAAGAAAACGGCGTCGCTCTGTGTTTGTTCGGAGACTCTTAATAGGATTAGGTGGGAGAGTCCAGGGTCCAGGCTCGGTTCTGACCCGAGAGTCGGAGGAGGTGACAGGATCTCCAGGTTTGTAAACAGAAACTCCTTCACTTCACTCGTGTCACACTCGGCTCTTTGTGTTCTTCTGTTTGCTCGGGGATCCAGCTTCTGCTTGTTTTACTATTTCTGACTTGTTTTTATCTGTACAGAGGTTTTTAGGTCGTCCCAGTGCTGCGCTTATCACAGTTTGAAGACGAAAAGTGTGATGTAAAGAAACTGCTGGTGTTTAGAGGCGTGACGATATCAAACTGTCACGATTAGGCCTGTAACGATAACAAATTTCACTGGACGATTAATTGACCAAGAATTTATTGCGATAAACGATAATATTGACATTTTGAGACCAATTTCAACTAATATAATGACCACAGACTTAACTCAGGACTCGTCTGATGTGTCTGACTCACAGTGACGACTTGTTCACAAAAATGTACCTGAATAAATCACTGCTGAACCAAACACAACCAAAGCAATAAATAAAATGGATTATTAAGTCTCTGTAACAAAATTGTCCTTAAAAGTGATTTTAGTCACTGACTTAAATTGGAATATTGTGTCTCGTCTCTGTTCCTGCTGCTGTGAGTCTCGTCATTTTGGTCTTGAAGTGTTCGTATGAACCCGCGACACAGGATGTTGTTTCTCTGTGACGGAGTCTCTGTTCTGTCTGGTGTCGTGTCGGTTCAGTTTCGGGATTTCAGGTTCTCCCGGGCGCTGGGTTTTGTTGCTCGGGTTTGGGTTTATATTTATGTCGGCTGTTGGGGTTTGAGACATTTCTTCTCATTGTTTTTGCACTCGCTGCATTTGACACATGTGGCTGTTGAGACGTGTCCCGCTTAGGGATGGGCATGATTAATCGATTAACCGATAATTGATCATTAAGAATTTCATCGATTACGTTCATTTTAATGGACAAACTGAATGTATGTTTGTGTGTCGTGACCAAACAGGTGTGTACATGTGTCTCTGCATCAGAAGGAGCGACACACAAACAGTGGGTCAGTCTGTAACGAACCGAAGCACAAATGTGGATTTAACCAGGATTTGGACAAGAAATTCCACACTTTCTGTTCCGGTCGGGACAAGTGTGAGTCGCGCAATGTGGATGACGAGGCCCCGCCCCCCTCCCCCCGTACGCTGTCCTGGTTTTGACAAACACAAATCTGGTCACACTGACCTGTATTCACCTGAGTCATGTCTTTTAATCCAACACAAGTTGAACCACATCAGCGACACAAGAGCTGGAGTTTTATCTTCACTTAGTTTATGTAAATTTGTGATGTGGTTTTAAGTTTTGTTTCTGTGAGATTTGAACAAAACTGAATTAAACACATTATAATGTCAAACAGCTGATGTGGATCTAGAGTCGTTATGTTTATATGTCGTAAAGTTGAATTTATTGATGCAGATTAGTGCAGATAGTAATAATAATGATGATAATTTTAATAGAAAAACCTTCATGATTAATCGATAATCGATCATTAATTCTTCCGACGATCGATTAAGAAAATTTCATCGAATGCTCGTCCCTAGTGGAGACTGAGGACTGTTCTGTACAGACGGGACGACACACGAGAGATTTTGACAGAATTTCTAAGATGTAACAAGTCTGATTTAGTTCCCAAAGTTTGCTTCAGAATTTGTATTTACTTGATTTCATATTTTAATTGTCGTTCCAGCAGTTTTTTTTATAACTACGGCTTCTCAGAAGATGCAACCCACCAGCACTTAACCTTTTTAAAAAAAAATCTAATTATATATTTTTTTATTATTTATATATTAATTTATATATTTTTTATTATTTACATATTTATTATTTTATATTATTATATATATATATATTTTTTTTATGAAATTATATTATTTTTCTCATGTTTTGTGGCATTTTTTTGTCTGTGTTCAGACTGCAGACTTTTTTGTGAAATCCGATTTTCACATTTCACATTTTCATTCACATTTCCAGTTAAATGCTCCTTGTGTGTGATCTCCAGTGTGAACTTTAAACACTCCAAAAGTGTCTCACATGAACACTGGACACACGACGACGTCACACACAGAGAAACATAAACCTGGACCTTCTAAATTTTTAAGCTGCTGTGG